TCTATTCTATTCTATTCTATTCTATTCTATTCTATTCTATTCTATTCCTCCATTTATTTATTTAATATATATGTACTGTCTGTCTCACTATCCAAAGCAACTAGGGGCAGTTTACAATACAATATAAAAGCCTATTAAAATTACAAGTGCTAAATAAATAAATTCCTTTGCAGAAAGCAATAGTAAAAAAGGGGGACCCTTCGGGAAGCAGTTCACCCCATCACAACTGGGTGGGCAGAGTCTTTGTGGTTTTTTTTACTGTTGAAGGATATTCCAGAGTGCCCCTACTAAGAGGTTTTGATGAATCCACTACTTGGTTAAAATCTAAAGCCTGCAAGGGCCTTCAGGAATAACAAAAATTGGCCAACTCACAGGGGTTCTTCAGGATCACACTGTCTTTTGGGTGGACTCTTGAGGAATGAAAATATCTTTTGAAAGACAGCCTTAATTCAGGAAATCTCTCGTTCAACCCATATTCCTCGTTATTAATAGGAGTTGTGATAAATGGAGCTTCTTATCCTATCTGTAAGAGATGCTTTTCTCTTTTATGCATTGCAACCAGCACTTCGGAATGGATAATTATTAAAATTGATTTAAATATTAAAAATTTTGTATTATTATCATCATCATCATCATCATCATCATCATCATCCTTCTACTTGCAGCTCAGGAAGAAAAGTTGTAGATCTGCATAAAAAATCTCATTAATTTGGAATGTCAAATAATTCTGTCTGTATTTCTCTAGAAATAGTTCTATATCTTTTATCTCTAATATCTTGTTCATAGGAAATCTAAAAGAACTCTAGTAACTGAATCTAGTTTAGTTAATCTAGTGACTATTAATCATTAATATGCAATGCCAATAAAAGTCTGGCAAGTGAATTTATTTTTACGGGATAAAAACAATAGGAAATTGGAATGTTCCCCGCAGCATTATATTATACCACAGAGGGAACTCTGCTGACTTGAAATAGATCTCTGAATTGCATATTCAAAGAAACTCTGTTCTGCAAAATGCAAGTTATCACTGAGAAATACAAGAATCCAACTGAAGATCACGTCTACAAAGAAACAATAATATTCAGTTAACTGACATGCGGCATTAATGTTACTCTTTTCACCATCCATCCAAATGCAGGTGTCATTCAGAAACAATACTTTCAGAATTTCCAATATGCGAAACACTTTATATTTAAATAGAATATTTAAACACAGAGTAACATTATTCAAAACATAGGTAGGCAATGTATTTTATAGTGGTCTTACTTGGAATATTAACAAGCATGTCACAGGCACTCCTACCAAAATGGATGTACAAATGTGCTTTCCTATTCACAAATAATGGGCACATCAATCACATAATAACCATTCTCCAGACTGTGAATAGGTGAGATTGCTCCCTGCCAACCTCTCTAATCCCCCGGGGTGCTCCCTATTACCCCAGTTTTCCTTCCCTTCCTTTTCCTTTCTGGCAGGTGGCCATAGTTCCAGCACAGAGCTGCGACCACCCACCATTTTTATTGTTTAATAGTCCTAAACTTTAGTGAGACTCAAAAGATTTTTGGAAATAAAAATGAGACAGATTTTGGTGGCATGCTAGCTTTCTATTAAAAGCAAAGTATCTGTGAGTACAAAGGGAAGTGGAGATATATACATACATACATACATACATACATACATACATACATACATACATACGTATCCGAAGTAACTTATCAAATAAATGACTAAAGATCAGACAAGGTTCCTAAAAATTTAAACTTAAGCTATTTGTTGTTGGTGGTGGTGCTTTCAAGTCAGTTTTGATTCCCAGCAATAGCCTGGACTAATCCCTGAAATGTTCTTGTCAACTTTTTTCGAAGTGGTTTGCTACTGCCTTCTTCTTAGGACTGAGAAAAAGACTAGCCCAAGGTCACCAGAAAAAAAGAACAGAATAACAGAGTTGGAAGGAGGTCTTCTAGTCTAAACCCTTGCTCAAGGAGGAGTCCCGATACCATTTCAGCAAATGGCTGTCCAATCTCTTTTTAAAAGCCTCCAGTGATGGAGCACCAACAACCTCTGAAGGCAAGCCATTCCATTGGCAAGTGGAAATTTGCCATGGGGCAGGAGATCTCAGCTGTCTACAGAGCTTACTGGAGTGCAGAAACCTCTAAGAAACCTTAATCTCTGTTCACACTTATGTGAACAGGCCACTTTCTTTACTGGCTGTTGAAGGGAACAATTTTGGAGCCTTGCCCAGATAACAATGCAAAAATGTTTGACAAATGCTTTCATTATCTTATATAAGCAACCAATTCCCTTCCCCCAGCTCTCAACATCTTTCTGTTGGGCAATAAAATCCATATAACACTCTCTCTCTCTCTCTCTCTCTCTCTCTCTCTCTCTCTCTCTCTCTC